TGATCTCAATAAGCTCTAACCAATCCTAATTGTATACAACCATAAAACAAACATTACACTCGAATGAAGGAATATTTTTTTCACAATTTGAAGTACTTGCTGAAATCATTGCACATGCGTGCACCCGCAATTCTATGCATCAAATTTGACCATGAGCATATTGTCTGTTCGGGCTTTACTTAGTCAGGCCACGTAGCTGGATAGTACATTGTTTGTCAAGGCCACCAAACTACGAAGGAAATCAAGAGATGTTTGAAAACTGATAAGTTGCTTACTACTAAATTCCTGGTTGCACTGGTTAATATTGTCTTCCAGTACTATTCGCCATGTTAGAAACTTAGTAATCAACCAACTTTTACTGTTCAATATACTGCCCGACAGCCTCGTTTCAAGTTGCGGTTGGCATACGTACTTATCTAGATTGTGATCGCGAAGTAATCTTAATTTCTACGAAGTAATTTTCAGTGTTTTTTAGCAGTACTTCCCATGCCACTTTCGAAGTGAACTTTTGAAAGGAATGCCGAGTTACTGTCGACTTAGCACATGGAAATCTTGAAGGGTGCACATGTCATTTGTGACCTACCACGTCCTTACTGCTTTTGTCTCCAAATCAAAATAGCTGTCCGTCAGATGTAGTTGGTTCGCGTGTACAAACGTACATTCCTCTCTGTTTCGACGCAAATTTCCCAAATATATCCAGTTGGTTGCTTGTTGATTCCTCGGATGTTTATAACCTTCGTCCATAAAAAAATCTTTTGACAAGCTTCATAACATTCCATTGAAAGTTTTCGTAATCTCTACGGTGGGTACCTCGTGATAAACCAATCTATCAGAGGAAAGGATTGTTCCAGTGAATTTTACCAACTTCCGTCCTTTTTCGATCACTCACAATTCGACTGTTCGCCAACAGTAGTATGATAGGTGTGAAGCAAATCGAAGTTGACTCATGTTTCGATTAGACTAGGCATACTCTGTCCAGCTGCACCTTGCTTATTCAAAGTGGCTACCAGGATACATTTTTTTCTCCATTCTTCCACTATCTTGCTTATACATATAATCAAGTAAAACTGAAGTATTTGGTTTAGAAAAAGTGCAACCAAACCAGCTCACAGTCCAAGGTTGGGTGTTAACTTTAAGAACGTGATTAAATTGAATCGGTATCTTATCGTTTTTGCATAACTGACTACTACCGACCACACTAGCAAACTCACAGAGAAAGACAGTAAAACCGGCTATAATTTAAGCCCCGAAAGTTGATAACAACGGCGTTTTGGTCTGTGGAATTGTTAACGTTATTCGGTATTCGACTTGTTGACATTCCATTCGTCTGGACAGACACACTGATAGACATATGCAGTTGAAATAAAACCTCGAAACATATCACTGAACTGAAAAGAATGGACAGAAATCCAGGCTATGTTGAGTCATCCATACCGTTCTGTCAGCGTCTCGACCAGCTGATGTTATGACCCAATAAGTTCCTGCCAGAGGAATTCGAAGACTCGATGGTGGCAATTCTTCAATAAGGTAATTTCATACCTCGGTGATAAGTCAGTGGATGACGGCCAAACTAATTTTACCGGCTTATTCCAGAATACGTAGTGACATGATAACGTGGCACGCATTCATGCCCACAGGATTGCTAGCAAGAAATTATGTCACACACAAATTTTTCACTCTGTTAGTTCAGAAGACCCCTTTTTGAGACAGCTCCTTGTCCACATGATGTATCCACGACATTCAAGCAATCCTGTGGACACAAAGACTATCAGAGATGAAAAATCAGCCGACAGACTTCGTTCTTATCAGCCACAGATAAAGCGAGGCGCATAGATGTAAAACAAACTGCCCTTACTCGACAAAGATAATGTCCTTTTGCCTTCATGATTAACGTGGGTTGAAAAATCTGTCCCCAATGAATATGGTCAAACCGTTGACATCATTTTCAGTTCTTGTGGTTGTATTCGGTACGAATTGGTAACGTAAAGTAAATTGAATCCCTACAGACTAACAAGCGCTTAAGTTATCGTCTACTATCGACTGATATGTCATCCGATCTTTTTTGTTTAATCATTACGATGTCACGAACATCTACCTCCTAGTACGTGTGTAAGCTATGCCTCATGTTGATTAGTTTTATTATTGTTTCGAATGGCGAAGCGGCAAACGAAGTATGCAGTAATGTTCTATGCTCTGTTCATTGTCTAGCTCTACAGTCATCATGTCGGCTTCATTGGAGATAGAAGTAACTGGGCACATTAGTCTGATATATCAATTCGCAGTAATCCAGATGCATAGAGCCTGTCTGGAGTTAAAACTTGGAAAATCAAACGTTTATCTCAATGCTCACCCATTATCGTGGACAGATTCCGTCCTCGGTTACATTCCCTAGTTAGCTAACATAAGGACTGTCATTCCGAACAAACGACCCTGTCTATATGAACCTTGTGATTACGTATGAAATACATGTGATATAAGTGTGACCACTACTGGCACTGATTAATTGTTAAACATTATAACTGGGCCCCTGTGTCCAGGACATTTTTCAATATTTCAACAAGGAAAATATTGCCATTTTGGTATTTTCATACATTCCTTTATTATGCGTAACCTTCTTCTTCGGACGTGTTAAAAATGTTGCATAATACACTTGGGTTCATGTGACCCATGCATGATAAATGATTTTTTTATAAATTCGGCATGTCTCCGCAGGCACAATCATTTTCAGCTATACTCCTTTACAAATATTGTTATGAAACTCTTTTTAACTATTCCACTTTAATATAAACTGTTTTTGGTTTGAGCCTTATTTTCCCAGGTAGTACCATTTTACTGTTTTCCATGCAGTACTGATGTAAAATTGGCAGCAGTAAAAACAACAAGAACATCACTTTTGAAACTGTCTAACTATGAAACACAGGTTGTCTTCGGCCTACTTTAAGCCAACAAATAGAGCCACATTCCTTCACCAGACAAGCGCTCTACCAGGTGAAGCTCGTTAAGGTCTACCGTTTGTGTTGTTCTTCCGAATCTGGCTGATTTCCAGATTTCTTTTGTCTCTTCAAATCAAAAACCCTGTGACGCTGTATATTGGAAATTGTAATGTCTTATGATGGCTCCAAATCCTGGATGGACTTTTCAGAAGAAAAATGTATAAAGTACTTCGCGTCACAGAAAACTCGCCGCTGGTCGACGACACTATTTCACGTCAGGTTGAACATTTCAATGGTACCTAGTAGAATCATAGTCTTGGTAGAAAATCCACTTACGGAATTCAGACGTTTGTAGCTTTTCAAGTAACTCCATTTGCTGCCCATCAATGCCTCCATGTGAAATACAAATAGGACTGCGTGAACTCCTCACGGTCTTCAAATGACGGTGTCTATAATATCTCTTTAGATCAATCCATTAACAATTATTCTTGGAACATAGCGAACTTTACATGTTTCGTTATGGTGGCTATTTTTATTGGCCTATATTTCGAGTAGTCACTAGACAGTGGGCCTACCACAGTCCCTTATGTTCCACACAATAATTTCCAAATAAATGTTTGGTATTTTTCAGTTAGAATTATACTAGTTCTGTCAATTCCTTACTGGTTCACGGTTTCCGCAAAAACTGATCTGGAACCCAGAGACGAACGGATGAAAGCAACGAACCGTTAATTGGATATTGGATAATGATAACCAATGAACACAGTGTAACATCGACATCAGTAACAACATCAGTAAACAGTGGCAGGTTGTGGTGAAAACCTATTCAGTTCACTATCTTACGGAATCCTGATACAATTCTGTGTATTATACGAGTACAACAGTATTCCGTGAACTGCTTACAGCTATCTGACCTTCATATGAAGTAATAGGTAGAACATCATGTTAGAGGTTTGGCCAAATACTTCACAGTTAGATAAGGATTATTTCTTTTTTCATGTAACCATTAAACATATTTAGCTTAAATAGCTTGCATGTTTGGAGTGATCCAGTTCATCAAATGTTGAGGTTGTCGGGATTTTAACCGGAGGCTCTGTGTTTGCTAACAAATATCTCAACAACGGACTTTTAGTTTATGCCTACCACTACTAAAAGTATCTATTGTGTTTTTCAAAACTTTTGTTAACATACAAGGTTCAATTCTCGCAATGTTGTAAGCGTACTTGGAGAAAATGTGAGGTTACTCAAAACTTACTAGGTGTATTAAGTATTGTAATGGTTTTTCTATTTCCAGGCCACTGTCCACTATCCTACGGAAACCAAGGATGAGCCCTCTCCTTTCTATCAATTCTGGACTCCCGACGGTAAGTTGTTTGCCAAATCAGTTTTAATATGGGTTAATTGTAGATGCATTTTTGCCGTATACTTGAAGCTAGTTGAATATCCCAAATGACTTGAAGATGTTGCTCAATCGAACGCAGTTTTACCCAGGACACCATAACTACGTCTTTTAACCACTACGTGAACAGTTCTGCGGCTAAACGATCGTTCCCGAATGTAACCTTATCCTCATCTCAACTGTCTATGACTTACAGTTTTTGAACAAACAAATCTGATCTGACTGGATGTTGACAACAGTCTCAGCGAATACTCATCCGTTTTCTCTGCTTGCACAGAGGACTTTTTGGTTTTCAGTTATATACAAACCCCTCTCCAAAGCTTCATATCACCCATTTTTGTATTCTTTTAACGGTGTGGACTTCGACTGGATTTGAACCAGCGACGGAAACAACTTGCCTCAACGCGGCAAGCGCTCCATCAGTCCAGCTACAAGGCTATACGAGGAGCTTGGAAATTTCACATGTGGACTCAGTTACCCACTTGTCCCACTGCCTCATAAGGAATCCACCAAACGATGCAGGAGATCGACTGCTCCGGCAGGATTTCTCGAACAGTCCACGCTTGGATCCACCAGTCAACTCCCTGGATCAACTGGTGGATTCCATATGAGGCAGTGGGACGGGTGGGTAACCGAGTCCAAATGTGAAATTTCCAAGCTCCTGGCGTGGATTCGTAGCTCAGCTGGTAGAGCGCTTGCCGCACTAAGGCACAGCGTTTCTGTCGTTGGTTCAAATTCAGCGGAATCCCTGACTTTCCAATATTGCGTCTCATCTAAAATCATAAATCTGCCAAACTACTCATTAGTATGTACTTCGCTGTTTTTTTTCTGGAAATTGTGGTAATCATTCGTCTACTCACTGTTTACGCGATGTTACTCAGTGATCAATTAGAATGAATTCACTTCAAAAAAGTCCATGGTTCTGCAACAACGTGCACAACATGGACGTACTGGTCAGTTAGAATGTTATTATTTGTAAATATCCGGCCACTGTGAATGGATATTATTGATTAGTGAGATCATTTGAGCAAATTTGTGTAGTTTAATCAATTAATGGTGTGAAAAAGTAGGAAAATTGTTCTTTTTCCAACCAAACACTTAACAGCTCATACATGGACCGAATCAGCAGAAACTTGTTTGTGGGGATGTTTTTGCTAACTCTGAAACTCTCAATACTGCTTGTCCGCGGTCACTGCCCTACCCAACTTCCTATTTTAGGGTCGAGATTCGACAGTTCAACTTCCACATACCAACGGATTGAAAAATGTTGACTTTCCTGGGGTCAATGCGGTAGCGTAGGAAGAATATTGCTAGGCAACTTAAATTACTGATCGAATGAGTAAATAACACCTACAAGAGACATTAGCATTAAGTAGGTAACAACACTGACAACATTTAAATACTCCTATCGTCTAGAGTAAATGAATAGCTAGGCAGGATACAAGTGGAGACAGCCTCGAATTACGACGGAGTGTAGTGCCGTTGTGATACAATATCAGACTGTTAACTACATCAAACCATTATTTCATCTGAAAATGTACTGAACTGCCTAGGTCATGGGCTTTCATTTTATTTTCATGGGTCACCCTAAAAGGAAAATGTGTTAATCGTCAATCAAACTTTGTGGCAGCACGCTTGGATACACGTCAAAATTTGTAGTGACTATCCCCATTAATACTGCAATGAACCTCTTGCCTATCAGACTAATTGTTCGCCTGATCTCTATCAGTAATTTCTACTCTCTTTCCGACAATATAAAAGTGCGTAGAAAACATCCAGAGATGTGATAATCCGTTCTACAGACTGTTCATGTTAATCGTAACGAATACGACAGAAGTACAGTTTTGTTGGGTGAGAAAAGCATGTTGGAATTGGTGTGAGTTTGTACTTAACTTGAATAGAAAGCGGAGACTAATGAGAAGAAATAATTCCGTTTTTTCACTATCGGTAGCATGAATCTTTAGCTTCCCCGATAAAACTCTACATATGTACTGTAATTTTTCCGGTTAGACCGCTTGATAAGGGCTCTCCGTGATGGTTGAAACTTTTCGAGACCCATAGCTTTTTGATGTTAACTAATGGCGGATCAGCTAACAAACCACTCACTGGTGAGCGTTAGCACAATGAATAATCTTTTCACTCAGTTTCGTTCTGTTTACGAGTTGGAATTCATACTTGTATATAACGTTATAATTTAACTTTGTTGTTGTTTTGTTGACAAAACATGTATACTGGTTATCTTTCTTCCAACTTCCTCGTAGTTCACGTAATGATGCCATTCAATGAGTGTAGCTGAAACCGAAAAATCAAGTAGCATGTAGCCTGAGATGTCTTCTTATCTTGCACTTTGTCGGACACGTTTTTCAAACTTACATGCAGACCATATCAGTTATGGTCAAGTAGGCTGAACGTTGTACTTGTGGACAGTAGAAGGATTGAACTAGATGAATATTCTCCTGCCCATAAAAACAACACCTCCAGCTGGAATGTACACTTTTCAGCCAAGCATTCACGTATTCATTTCGGCCTCAAACCTGTTCCGGTTATTTTAATAAATTGCCAAAACTTTGGGTTCAACCGATACACGTTTTATAGAAACTCTGTGGTACGACAGCATTTTAGCTTTTCTGACTGGCCATAACAGCGTTGTTCCGTATTTAATTTCGTTGGAGAATGACCGCATACACTAGCCAGTGACCCTAGTGAAGTTTGGAAAGACTTCTAGACGTGCGTATCCCATTCAGGCGATAACACTAAATAGATTGGAGGCACATCGTGTCTCATGGAACTCTATCAAACCGTATTTGTCATATTTTTTACCTGCCATTTGGTCAACTCTATATGTGTTACATTTCATGTCAATTTCCAGAAGTATCTGTTTCCACAAAGGCTGTTTTCGTCTCTTCCGGGACATCGGCCATTCTTAACTGCACCGGTGTTGTAGGGCCTAGCGGTCCATATCAAAAACGATTGGAATGGAAACGTCAGGATGGAACCCCGTTACCGGAAGGGAACCGCGTTGAAATAGTGATTACTGCGGACAAGGAAACAGACTGGACAGAGACAATTAGTCTTATATTTGACAAAGTGGAGCCCGGACAAGCTAACACTTATGGCTGTTTTATTAGGCCTTCGGTGATGGAAGTGCTTAACATGCCGGTCTCGCCGCCAACAGCCCGGTTGGTTGTCAGCGGTAAGTTTTCGAGTCAGTTCAAGCTTAAACAAGATCCGCGCTTAAGTTCAAAACACCGATGAACTCTAACGGTACGAGAACCGCATGTAATGGTTACTTGCCTATCAGCCAGTGATAACTAACGGTGAAATAAACTAATTTTTGTCGCAGTTGACAATGCTAACTTAAGAAAACAAATTTTATGAGAATCAAAATTGAACTAATCTAGTGCTGCCTCTCAGAATCTTTCGTCTGCAAAAAACATTATTTGAACACTTTACGACAGTATGTATATTGGTAGGTTTTCAATATTCCACTTGGTCATACACGACTCACTGAGTCAGTAAGCATATCAGGAAACTTTGGTCAGAAGTAGATGGAAGAGTAACGATATAATATTCTGTCTCCGATTTCAAGTAAGTTGAATATAGTGAGTGACAAATCTTGTAACAGTCATAATGGAAGCCGATTAGCAAACCCCTAAATAGGGATTCTGATAGAAGAATCCTAGAAACCAGAACAGTCATTGCTTTTTCTCACTACAAGTATGTTGTCAAACTATGAGCTGAAGTCTGTTCGAATCAGCTGTAGTCTGAACAAACATAGACAATTTGTGCGTTTATTGGTTTCGTATAGATTTTGCCCCAAAAACGATGTACAACGTTTTGTATTCGTGCAGCAACGTTTTTAATGAAGAGCATTAAGGTTCCAAACAGAGTTCATTAGCAAAACAAACATCAATGGAATAAATACAGATCAATAACCATCTGACAGCACTTCCAGAGAAGAAAGTTCAACACAATTCGGTGATGAGTTCTGAAGTGCCCATGGTTGTTTTCATGTGAACTATCATGTGAACTATCATGGAATATGGTAGCTTCCTCCTAAAGCATCAGATTATTTGGATTCAAGTCACTGAAATAACTTCAGATGTCACAATCTTTCGGCAGCTTTTAGCAATTCAACTATATACGCCTTTTCTGAAACAAACAGCTTGAATACATTTGTCTTTTTAATGGTATTGAAGATCAACTGGTCTGCTCATCTTCGTCATTTGCCAATTTTTTGATGTATAAAGCATCCACTGATATTCGGATAAAAATAGGCTCTTTCAGTTCTTTTGTGCACTGAAGTAAATTAGTTTAGATATTGGGCTTGGACAAGACACCTTTTCTAAGAAGATTCAAGACACATTGTCGACTTATTTTTCAAGCCTACGGTTTGTGTAACACGGTTATTATCTTTGGTACTCGAGCTTATTTCAGAATCAATGAATACCTGACTGTCGGGGCCCATAGCATGTCTCATTTAGTGGGTCATTCCGGATTGTCCAATAGTCTGTAATATTACTTGTATCACCTTTACGATCACCAACAGTTGTCACCCACTACAAGTTGATCACTGTCTTGCTTATTTATTAATGAAGAGCTTAGCGTCCAATGATTAGCCTAGCCTTCACCTGTTTAGATCATATTATTACTGAACGTGTAAAACCCTAAAGTAACCGGTTAGCAGGCTACACGGTTAACGTAATAGATGAACTAAACGCATACATATTAATTTCAAGTATTTATATGCCTATATCACTGATTGCTTGCACTGAACCGAATAAAACCATACAGGTAAATCGTGTGCTTTAGAACACAGTGAGAATGGGTTCATGCGTTCTGACATCAAATTTTGAAATCGGTCGCTCACAGTCATCAGACGAGTGCTGGGCAGTTGCTTCGGTACAGCTGGGTAGCACTATAAATTCGTTAATCAGGAAATCAAAAATGCAGCCCCCGAAAATCCTTCAAAACGACAGTCATTCCTTAGTTCATGTGATGAAGTTAATCGCCTCTTTGTGGTTGGTCTGCAATTTAGCAAATAGTAATAATACTGTATACCCGTTTCCATACTGGATTTTGTTTTAGGTATGAAGATGAATCATTTGTGTGACAGCTTTCCGTTTTGGGGGCAGTAGCATTTTTCTGTCGCCTTTACTGGCTACGAAAATGGTTTATGACTGGTTTGATGGAGTGGTCTTTCGTGGCCTCTTTTTGATTCTAATGGCACGCACTGGCTGCCGCGATAGGAGGATGTCCGAGGGATTGACTGAGTTCCCAAGGCCGTCACGTGGTCCAGTCGGGTATAGACAGCGCGAACCAAAGAACTTTGTCAATCACACCGTGACCTACAATACTGATGCGTCAATTGGCTTCGCAAACATGTTCTGGTATTCAGAAAACAGCCGTACGTGATAGAAGGAGTTGCAGCCTTACCACACGCATTAATGAAACTTTCAAAAGAGGCGCTGAATGGCGCATGGTAGCTCGCCTAATTGGAGTCAACTGCAAGATAGTGTATAAGTAGCTCCATGTCAGTTGTATCAGTTAGAAAGCGTAAACCGACAAAGAAAATATAGGTAAAATTTTGAATGAATCGGAAATCTATATAATACTGAAACAAATCTTCACGAACCAGACATTGGCTCTCACCTTTTTGAAAATGCGTGCGAAAGGAGTGTTGACAACCACTATCAGCCGATAGTTGAATGGGCGGTTCATCATTGCAAAGAAGTTGTGTCAAATTCCC